TTTTTTTTTTGATACGGAGTTTCCGCTCTTGTTGGCCAGGCTGGAGAGCAGTGGCTCCCTGCAACCTCTGCCCCCTGGGTTCAAGCAATTCTCCCGCCTCAGCCTCCCAAGTAGCTGGGATTACAGGCACGTGCCACCATGAATGGCTAACTTTTGTATTTTTAGTAGAGATGAGTTTTCACCACATTGGCCAGGCTGTCTCAAATTCCTGATCTCGGGAGATCCGCCTACCTCAGCCTCCCAAAGTGCTGGGATTACAGGCATGAGCCACCGCGCCTGACCCGGAACTCTTTTAACCATCTTTACAGCAAACTGCAGATTTAAATGGTAGTTCCTTAAAAGCCCAAACTTTGAGGTCCAGAATCTTTGGGAATACCAGTATATTCAGGCATCATTTCCTTTTCCAAACCTGCCCTTGCAATCATATTCATCTCTGAGGCATGCCCAAATTAGGGAATCCACTAATTTCATGATTTTATCCTTTGCTAATTAAGCTGAGATTTGTCCTCTTGACAAATCTGTGAAAGCCAATGAATAGTCAACAACTCTCGGGAGTTTTGTCAGGGTAGAAAAAATGATGAATTATCCCCATTCCCATCTCGACCTGTGGTCAGTGGTTTTCATAGCTTTCTTTTTCCCTCCCTTCTTCCCTATTTTCCTCCTCCTTCCTTCTTCCTTTTCCTTCCTTCCTTCCTTCCTCCCTCCCGCCTGCCTTTCTCTCTCTTTCTTTCTTCTTTCTTTCTTTTTCTTTCTTTCTTTCTCCTTTCTTTCTCTCTCTCTTCCTTTCTTTCTTCTTTCTTTCCTTCTTTTTCTTCTTCTTCTTCCTTCCTTTCTCCCTTCTTCTTTCTTTCTTTGTTTCTTTGTTTCTTTCTTTCTTTCTTTCTTTCTTTCTTTCTCTTTCTTTCCTTCTCCTCCTCCTCCTCCTTCTTCTTCTTCTTCTTTTTCTTCTTCTTCTTCATTTCTTTCTTCTTTCTTTTCTCTCTCTATCTCACTATCTTTCTCTCTCTCTCTCCTAAGCAGTCATTTTCTTCAAATTATATTTTTAAGTCAAAGAATTACGCCTCCTACCCTCCATGAAAACCTGATGAAAAGGGGATTGTTATGATCACACTGTAAAAGTTGGCCAGATTTAGAGACAGAAAGAATAATAGAGATTAACAGGGGGTGGGGAAGAGGGGAGTGGGGAGCTAGTCTTTAATGGGTATAGAGTTTCTCTTTGGATGATGAAAAATTTCTGTAAATGGATAGTGGTGATGATTGAACAAAATTGTGAATATACTTAATGCTACTGAATTGTACATGTAAAAGTGGTTAAAATGGTAAATTTTGTTATGCATATTTACCATGACAAAAAATGAACAGAGCCTCAGAGAAATTTCGGACATCATTGAGCTCATCAAAATACAGCTGTTGGGAATACCAGAGGAGAGGAGAGAAAAGAGCAGGAAAAAAAAATCAAAGGAAAAATGTATCTAAAATGATCTAAATTTGATGGAAAACATTGATCTACACATCCAAGAGATGCAATGAACCCAAGTAGAGGCCAGGCGCAGTGGTTCACGCCTGTAATCCCAGCACTTTGGGAGGCCGAGTCAGGCGGATCACGAGGTCAGGAGATTGAGAACATCCTGGTTAACACGGTGAAACCCCGCCTCTACTAAAAATATAAAAAATTAGCCAGGCGTGGTGGCAGGCGTCTGTAGTCCCAGCTACTCAGGAGGCTGAGGCAGGAGAATGGCGTGAACCCGGGAGGCGGAGCTTGTAGTGAGCCGAGATCGCGCCACTGCACTCCAGCCTGGGTGACAGAGCGAGACTCTGTCTCAAAAACAAAACAAAACAAAACAAAATGAACCCAAGTAGAATGAACACAAAACAGAGATCCCCTCAGATGCATTATGATAAAATCCTGAAAGCCAAAGAGAAAATCTTGAAACAGCAGGAGAAGAATGACTCATCACCAAAAAGAAGACCCTGATATGATGAATAGGTGACTCCTGATGAGAAACAGTGGAGGCCAGAAGGCAGTGGGATGGCATATTCAGAGTGCTGAAAGAAAAAACTTATCAACCAAGGATCTGTGTCTAGCAAACTATCTGTCAAAAATGAGGGCAAGGGGTCCGAGTGTTATGGCTCATGCCTGTAATCCCAGCACTTTGGGAGGTTAAGGAGGGCGGATCATGAGATCAGGAGTTTGAGACCAGCCTGACCAACATAGTGAAACCCTGTCTCTTAAAAAAGTACAAAAATTAGGGGCCGGGCGCGGTGGCTCAAGCCTGTAATCCCAGCACTTTGGGAGGCCGAGACGAGCGGATCATGAGGTCAGGAGATCGAGACCATCCTGGCTAACAC